AAACACATAGTTCGCGATGGATATACAAACTTCTTCGACTAGTCTCACCTAAGTGCAGACACTATTCAGAAGGGAAAGAACGTACTTCCCATAGGTTTAACACGCGCCATACCCCAATCTGTGCCGCATAAAAAAAATAACGCCGCCGGGATAGGGGGGGGGGGGGGGAAGCAAAAAAAGAAAATAGGCAACATTTGTGGTTACCTCTTTATTTTTAATTTTTTTTGGGGGGGGGGGGGCAGGGCTCGGGGCCAATTAGATACATATATATATATATACATCTAGCTAGGTTTACGAAAGGTCCTTGGTTTACGGTCAGCTGGGATGACGATCGTAGTCTGTAAATTTACAGCAGAAAAATCGGTGTTGTGACAAAATTAATATAGAAATTAAAATTGGAATTTACATTGCATGTACCTTAAAGTGAAGATAGGGATGTAAGTTTGTATACCTAGTGTTTTTTTATTTTTACTTTTCCCTTTTGTTGATTTATTTTTATTCAATACATCATTGTAATTATTTTTTCCCATTTCCTATAAATTACCTTCTATCTTTACGTCTCCCGATTTCTTTTTTTCTTGAAATCGATTTTTTTTTCCCTTCTCTTTTCCATCACCTACTTCATCTGCACCCACTAATTTTGTTATTCCATCTCTTATAAATGATGATTTAAAAAAAAAAAATGTTTTATTAAAAAATTCTCAATAATTTATAAATAATAAAACCTAACTTTTATAATATCTATTTTTCGGAATTTCATTGAAATTGGGGTGGGTGTGCATCTAAAACAAAAGAGAGAAGGTCATAGATCATTAGAGAGTGGGAGGGAGAAAAACTGAGTGAGAGAGGAATTGGAGAGAAAAAGGATGCAAGAAATGATGGATGTTGAAAGATGAGGTGTTGAAATTATAATTTTATCTTTTTGTAAATATATATGAGAAGTTAAAATATTTCTTAAATCCTTTTTAAATGGTCCGTATGTTCCAATACACATGGCATAGCTCTTTAACAACGACATTAAATAATCACAGATTTATTATGACATTTCCCCCCCCCCCCCCCCAAGTATGTCCCGAGTGGCGCTCTCAGAACAAAGGCGCGTAACAAAGTTAAATACATGAATATACGCGGTGTTTTGGAACTTTGGTGTTGATTGACATGACGCCTCATTTTAGATAGACAATCAGCCTATACAGTGCGTCCCAGAAAACACGAAACCGAGAATTGCCAATGTTTTATCATAACTTAATCACAATTAACATTAATAAATGAAACATATTTGTAGATCAGTGTAGGTCCACGATTAGAGAGAGAGAGATAACAAAACAAAAATTGGGGGGGGGGGGGGGGGACAAACATCCATAGAGAGAGAGAGGAAGATAAGAAAGGAGACATTGGTGATTCGAGATAGATTATCAAGAGAGAGAGAGATTAAAGGTGTAGTACCCAAATTACTGCCCACCTACCTGACCCATGCCCTGACCAGGGCAAGGAAGTGGTTGAATTGTTATGTTCCTTCTAATGATGTCGCTTGAATCCACATTGTCTTTGAAGAAATGATTCACCTACCTGAATAAATGTATACTGCGTCACTTCATCATCAGCCCATCACATCATCATCACCATCATCATGTTAGTATCAACATCATCATTATTTTTAAATGCGCAAATCTGATTTGTTGAATGAAACGCTTACAAAAAAGATATTAAAATAAAGCGTCTTTACTTACAATCGATTGCAACTATTTGTGCTACTTGGCCCAGCTCTATTATCATCACCATCGCTTTTCTTTATCATCATCGCGGCGAATATGCCAACTGTCACATATTCATGAGCTAGAAAAAATATTTATCTCCGTAACATACAACTGCTTTTCAGGACTAATAGTTTGTATTGGATATTGCTACATTGATAGCAAACTATTCATAATTGCATGCATATCATTATATTGGTATTGTATATGGGATATAATGTACAAACTGTACATCCAAATGAAGACTAAAGGATGACGAGGATGGTGTGCGATTCTGGTGAGGAACCAAAGGAGAAGAGGGCATAGACTGTAAAATTTATACAGAACTTGGTGGAAACAGGTAGGTAATTGATATTGTTCTCGAAGTATTCATCATAAAAATACATTCACTACTAATCGTAGTCGTAAATATTGGCTTGATTGAGGCAGTGAGGGATCTTAGCCTTGGTTATCACACCCCTAGGAATCACGGGCGGTTCGTGGCTTGACGTTTCTTGGTTGGAGTGGCAGGTAGTGTCTTGGTGCAGGGGGAGGATAATGATTAATTGTCTGCAAGAGGTAACTTGTGGAAACACTTACGTATGATTGGGCGGGCGGGGGGATTGGGGTAGCAGTAGTGTCTCAGGATAATGATCAATTATATGCTACCGGTAGCTTGTGAAAAAAACTTACTTACTTTATTGATTGCAAGACAATAAAGCCATAAACACCCTCGTATATATATATATATATATATATACATATTTTACAGATAAGAGAAATTAAAAACGAAAAACAAACATGTGGGTTATAAAGGGCCATAGATCATTGTGGAAGTAGACTACCGGTACTAGTATTCCTCACTTCATACCTAATTTATGCATAGTTTTATAAGTTAAAAACAAAACGGGATTTTAAATCAGAACAAAGCATGCATAAAAAAGTAGTAGAGCCTACAAACACCAGTCATTTTTCAGAAAATCCGTTGTGAAAAACAAGGAAAGAACTCGAAATAGCATTAATTATTTTTGAGACTGAATATCATCATAATAATCAAGTGACAAAGAAACAAGATAAAATGAACACCAGCAAGCTAAACTGAAAACACGAGCAATGCTCGAAATGCGTCTGAAAAGCATGCAGGGCAACAAAATAAAAACATGTCAAACTATAACTGCAACAACAATTATAACAACACCAACAACAGCGAGGCCGTAGCGCTGACGGTCTACACCGCCATAGATCTCCCGTTCCGCCCACGTCAATTTGCCTATTACGCTCGGCTAGCTCCTCCCCTTCTCTAAAGCAGTCGCTATGCGGAAGTAGCGTTCCGCTAGCTACTGTGCGACGTGCTGGTAAAAAAAAGTGTGACATAAAAAGACAGATATTGGAGGCATTTCCGCTGAAATATTAACCAGGTTTTGAGGGATATATCTCGGGAATGAAGCAATTGTAAGTCATGAAAATTGACATATATCATTTGGATGGACATTTCTGAATTTTTGTGTTTAAAAATAGTGAATTCACAGGAAAATCGCTAAGTTAAAAAGATCGTTCTTCGTGATTGTATTCGACCACGTTGTGAGCAAGTTTCCCACGCTGCTATACACTGCTCTCTAAATATTCTTTGATATTGCCGACTTGTTGTAGCTTCTTGTAAAGAGACGTACGTCTCTGCGAAATTTACCAGACCCTGTTTGCTTTCAACTGTAATGTTTGGGACATTCCTGGCGCACTCGAAAAATTCCATACCCGTTAATGAACTTCCTAACGGGTATGGGACATTTAACGGCAAGGGGACATTTAACGGCAAGGGGACATTTAACGGCAAGGGGACATTTAACGGCAAGGGGACATTTAACGGCAAGGAGACATTTAACGGCAAGGGGACATTTAACGGCAAGGGGACATTTAACGGCAACTACAGAACCGACCCGTTAGTAACGCGTTATTTATAACGTTAGCGTTAAACGCGTTAAATCGTATAGTTTATTTTGACTCATACTGTATTAGAGGTCTACTCAGGTCTATAGTACTTGTACGTTTTAGTATCAATCGCCGCCCAAGTAGGCCTATTGGATTATTATTTAATAATTTTGTTCAAATCAATCTGAAGGCGAAAAAGAAATCTTCCATCCATTCTTCCCTTGAAATTCTTTGTTTTTCTTTTTTTCTTGTTTCTTCTTTTTTCTTCTAGATCTAGTACTATTTTTTCTTTTTCCTCTTTACTCTTTAGACTTGATCTATAGACTAGTCTATTCTTCTTCCTTTTCTTCTTCATCTTCATCTTGTTGTTGTTCTTCTTTTTAATTTCTTCTTCTTCTCCTTCTGAAGACCTTCCCCTTCTTTCTTCTATTGATTTTGTCTTCCTCTTCATCTTTATATTCTTTTTTCAACTGAGTTATCATATTAAACATAGATCTAGACTATTTCTATTTCTAGATTTCTAAATCGAAAATGAAATGAGAAATGATACATGCATTGCCACATCATGATGTACATGTATGAGATCACTTAAGGAGGTTAGCATTGTAAGCCTGATGGCCTAAAAATTATTTTAAAAATTGTTTGGACTTGACTAGGTTTTCTTTCTTCTCCTACTTTGCCTTCTACTCCTACTTTGCCTTCTACTTCCTCCTCACCTTCTTATTTATCTCTTCTCCTTATTTCCTTTGTGGTTCTTACCTTCCCTCTGTTATTTGAGATCTTCTCTAATATTGCAGATTCATCGACTTATTTTTTTAACCCTCTTTCACATTCTTGATTTGTTCCCTTCTTTCTTTCTTCCTTTTTTCTTTTCCTCTCTTGTTATAGTCTACCTGAACAAATTTATAATTTAGATCAAGATTGACCCTTTAATTATAACAGGTCTTAACAGTTAATCCAAAGCCCTTGTTGGAGTTCATCGCTAACTTTCAACTTCATGCCATCATTTTTGTTCATAGACTATATTCCTGTCCACGGATGGAATATAAACCTACAAAAAAGTTGTTGGTCTTAATCTAACATTTCACTTTCTGTATACATATTTTCTCTTTCTCTCATACTCTTACAGTACTTCCTTTCCTTCATAAAAATTACTCCTCTCTTCTTCATCCTTTTGACACACTTGTTTGCACACACAAGCACCAGAATCTTCATGATTTTATCTTCTTCTTTTTTTCCTATATAGTTTTGCTAGGTCTGTTATGCTCAGCCAGCTATATGTGTGTCATTTAAAAACAAAAATTAATCTCTCCCTTTGTTATTGTTGTCCCTTTTTTGCAGGCAAGAGCTCTCAAAACGTCACCTCAGCAGCCCACCAATGCTGGCCCTGTACCCAACCCTCCTCCCAAGGGAGGTAGCAAACTTCCACCCGTAGAATCACAGAAAGCTCAGCAGACAGATGAAATACTCAACTCCATTTTGCCACCTAGGTGAGATAATATTTATATTCAAAATATGTTTTATATTTCATAATATGGGGGGTACTCCAACAAGTTTGGCACCACTTTATTTTAGTTTTTTTGGAATTCATATAATTGAGGCAATTATTTTATTTTGGAAAGTGGAGAAGATGCTATTCAGAATTAAGTTCTAGTTAAGTAGCATTTGTATACTTAGCTGATTATTACGTAATTAGATATTTCATTGAGAATAATCACAGGAGTTTATTTTGATTAACAAATTTATGTTGGGTCTTTGGTTATTCAGATACATGATGGAATAAAAAATGCCCTTGGTAAAAACATTTCAGCAAATGTACCTGTGCTGTGGGCAGGTAAATTCAAATGTTGCTACTGTTTCTATAGCAGCAAATCTAAATGAATTCGGAATAAATTAGATACACTGTGAATATTTAAATATATTAATTAATTAAGAACAAAACAGAATTCAAGTCAAAAAATGTTTTTCACATTTTTATTTACCAGGGAAACAAATTTGTAATATACTCATGTCATTGTTATCCACACAGGGAATGGACAGAGTCTGGTCAGCTGTGGGTTCAGCAGGTGTCCAGTACCCCGGCCACTCGGTTGGACGTGGTCAACCTACAGGAGCAGCTGGACATGAGGCTGCAGCAGAGACAGGCCAGGGAGACTGGTATTTGCCCTGTCAGGAGAGAGCTTTATTCACAGTGCTTCGGTAAGTGTTTGAATACAAGTCAAAATTCATAGGAAATATGCTGGCTTGATACTCTACATACATTCTGTAAATATCCTCTATGTAAATTTATTTTACTTACTTTGTGAGCCCTATGTGGCTTACAAAATATATGTGGGACTCACACACACACAAAAATTAATTTGTCGATCATCATGATTATAATTTGTCATGTTTATTACACAAGTACTTATAAATCAAATAAAAATGCATACATATGCTCTTTCCACAAAAAAGTACACATGTTCATACTGAATGAATTTGTACCTTAACATTTTTTTTTTCTCCAAACAAAAATTAGTTTAGCCTAGTAATTAGCTTCTTGACCATGGATTTCATGAATTTTATTTTCATGTCCTTTTTCTTCATATATTCTTCTTTCTTGTGTGTATATATATTTCTGTCGTCCATTTTCAGATAAGTTTTATAACATTCAACATTTCCACAATTATACTAATTATTTCTCCTCTCCAATTTCAATCATGTTTGTCTTTTTGTTTATTTGCTAGATGAGTTGATCCGTCAGGTGACCATCGAGTGTGCCGAGCGCGGCCTTCTCCTTCTCAGGGTCCGAGACGAGATCAGGATGACCATAGCTGCTTACCAGACCCTCTATGAAAGCAGTGTAGCCTTCGGTATGCGCAAGGCACTGCAGGCTGAGCAGGGCAAGTCAGATATGGAGAAGAAGGTAATTAAAGGCTGTTACAAGGGATCACCATCTGCTCATGCAGAGCCAGAAGGATATGATTTGTATAAAATAACAAAGGGTTAATACCCTTCTAGCTCTTAACAGGCAATATTCCACTTCAAGTTTTAAGTTTTATTTGTTCCACATTTTACAAAAAATGTAGACATACATATAAAATAAAAAATTATACAATACATGTAGTATATATCAGCACATCTCAATGATTCTCAATTCATATCATAGATTAAGTAGAATGTGAGGAACTTATTAAAAAGCAGCATTTGTATATTGTAGGTTCCTGGTAAAATAAGCTTGATATGAAAACCTCGTAATATATTCTTTAAATCTGTAATAATGTCTGCTAAAGGACAGAATGATATTAAGCATTATTACCCGTATCAGACATCTGAGCTGGTCATTTACAAAACCGTATTGCCCTAGTTTTCACTAGCAGTGGAAACGGAGGGGTATATTCTTTGTATTTTCCTTGGTCTCCCTGCTCGTATAGACTATGCGTGTAGAGACGAGTGAAAATATACCTTTTTATTTTCCACGGTCTCGCATCCGGGCATCTTGTATTGACCGCGCCGTATTTTTTCATTTTCATTGCGCATCTATTATGCGTACGAGAACCGGCGCACTTTGCGCGCACTCTATTGTGACGTAATAATCACACCAAATGCACACTGTTTGCAGTATATCGAAAATTTTGTCAAGCACTGGATATTTGACAAAGTTTGTTCAGTTCTTTGAGATTGTCATGGTGGATTTCTGTATTTGCTCTAGATGTCTGATTTGGATAACAATACAAATATTGACTGGCTTTACTTTCGGGGGACATCAGAAATATTGACCGCGCTAAGACCATATTGCCCTCGTCTTTCGACTCGGGGCAATATTATCTGAGCTTGGTCAATATTTATGATATACCCCTCAAGGCCAGTCAATATTATATAAATATATCCTAGATTTGAATTACTGTGCCATTAATAAAATTTCGCAGTCTTCATACAAATCCCATGAAAAGAATTCAGACCTACTGACTGTCAACAGAAATGGGCCTTGAAGGGAGTAACTTATAGTATGTGTATTTTATACTGTTATCATTACCCTACACCTATTCTAAAACTCAATCACAACCAAAGCCCTTATTGATATATTTTACAAAATTATTAATATTATTATTATTATTATCACTAATACCGCGCTTTTCCCATAAGGCCCAAAATGCTGACAGTAAATGAAAATGAAAGTTACATAAATACATGTAATAAGAAAAACAGCACACATTTACAAACTGCCCACCAAAAATATGTTTTTAAGGCCTTTCTGAAAGTAATAACAACAACAAAGCATAGAGCAAATTTTATTGCAGATATTGGATCACTGCACCCACTTGTGCAGACATAAACTTTTATTTGGATGTGTCATTTTGATGTATTAAATAGATCACAGACCTTGGGCAAGAGAAGCGAGAGCTTGAGCGACAGGTCAACGAACTCAAGGCCAAGTGCGAGGCCATCGAGAAGAGAGAGGCCGAGAGGAGACAAGTCGAGGAGAAGAAACACGCAGAAGAGATCCAGTTCCTTAAGAGGACTAACCAACAGCTTAAGGTATAGATTAACTATTTATTTATTCATCTATCTGCCGTATTTATATGTTTATTGATGAATCCGTTAATCAATTTATGTTGAATTCTCTATGAAAGACCGGCCATTTATTGATGTGGTCCTGGCAGAAGAGAACTAACACAAATGTTGTGATGTAGTAACAAAATTATAAAAAGATGATTTAGAGAACTTATAACCTATCATTGACACAGTTTGTACACGCTTGGACTGAATTGTCCTGGGTAGTATATTCAAGGATAGGTCCAAACATGAAATGTGTGTTTCTTTGTTATTGTTTTTTTTTTCTTCTTCTTCTTCTTTTGGGGGTTTTTACTAGTTATATTTGTGAGAAAGACTTAATAATGTTGTTTTTTTTTAATTTAAAAAAAAAATTAAAAAAATTAATGTAATTGTTCCCCTCTCAATATCTTGTTAATAATCAACTTTCCTTTATTTTCATCCACCACAGACACAACTTGAAGGTATAATTGCTCCAAACAAGAAGTAGGGTGACGGGCGATTCCTATAGTGGACTCTTCACTGTATACTTGTACAAAGTGATATAGGTAGAACTACATATTCTTGAATCCGACCTTGTATATAATTATACATATATATTTGTGGAGTAGAGTTAGTAAATATTGAATTAAAAAGAATATGCACTACCCTGCAATCAATATCAAATAATGAGGATGTCTTGTACTCTGATATTTATTATTTCTGGAAGAGATTACTTGTGAATCGTTTATTTTTTTCATTGATGAGCATTCTTAGAAAAGATGTTGTTTCAGGTTTTAGAGGCAGACTTTTCACTTTTCTACTTTCTGATTCTCAATTTCCTCTCTGTAGCTGAATAAGTTTGTAATACTCATCTTCACAATTTTTCATTACTTCTTCTTTCGTATGTCAGGCAGTTTCTGAATCACATGTAAAAGCACATCGGTTTGTTTGAAATGAAGAGGTGAATTTCCTTCACAGGAATTAGTACATTACAATGAAAATGTAGCAAAACTTATTTGTGTGTGATTTTTCAAATTAAATGATATGGGGGATGTTTCACAAAGATCCTAAGTTGGACTTAACAATTATGGAAAGCTGTTAGCATCTTTGAAAATATTTTGTAAAAGTTATTTTAAAAGGCATAAAATGTTGATTCAAATCATTCATATTTTCTATTATCAAGGATATTTCATGTTCTTGATGGCGAATTTGTGAAATACCCCTATGATGTATTAAAACCGTCCAGGCATTCACTTTGTTACTGATGTATATATAGGAATACAATTTTTAAATTGCCCACCTTAAGTGTTCCTTTCTATCTTGTTCCATGTCTTCTTCCTTCAAAAAGTTCTATTTGTATTACATACATGCAGTAAATGAACTGTCAATATTTTGTATACAGTATATTTTCAATAGCATGGTTATGCAATGACTATTCATTGCACTTGAATATCATTTAATTTTTTTTTTACGGGGTTGTGGAGAGGATCTAATGTTGCAGGTGTACAACATTATTGGACATATTTTCCCAGCTAAAAGCTCCAGTATTAACAAAGTTGTAACTTTTGTCACGTTATCTTTTGAAATTGTCTGTAAGAATTATATCAAAGACAATTTTTTCATTTTAAAAAGATTTAATGTTCAACAAAAGTGCTGGCAAATGTTTGTATCAGTAATAATAATAAAATTGAAATAAAAAAAAACATATAAATGAGAGATTTGAAAGTTCCACCCATCCTGGGTTTGTATACATGTACCTGAATTTTAAAATGTAGTACAACATGCTATTAATTCTTCAATTTCATTTATCTAGATCTGAAATGATCTCGTCTCAAAACTGTGGTATTGAATGTTTGTCAACTGTACTGCTCTGTTCAAGTATACTGAATCACAAAGTGCAGTGGTATCTATGTATCATATCCACCAGGGGGGTGTTTCACAAAACTTGTCATCAGTGACAAATGACAGTTTTTGTTACAAGCTACTAAAATCCATGCTTCTGATTGGTTATTCTGATTTTTCACTGATTTTTGTCATTTGTCATTGAAAAAAAGCTTTGTGAAACGGGTCCCAGTTGTAATGTATGTGATAATTATTTGAGATCTATATTTAACTATTTGTAGATTTGTACAAGTATTCCATTTCAACTTGATTCCTGCCAGATATCCATGTAACCTCACTTTACGACTATGCATTCCTCATCTTTAATTCTTCAATATACATGTATCATCACACCTTGATCTTGATGCCTACCTATAAAGGGAAAGTGTACTTCTTTGTATCAATAAATTTGTAAATTACCGCTTTAAATGTTTGTTCTGTTATCCTTCATTGTTCAAGCGTCTGAAGTACCTACTTATCTCACTTTGTTTTAGTGAACCTAAATTCTTCTTGTAGGCGAGGACTTTAATTGGCACAGAATAGTTGCAATTAAACAAAGACCTCAATACAAGTACATGATTCTCATCAGTTGATAATTGAGATGTGTTTTGTGTTTATGCAAAAGGCCAAAGTTACAATCTCTCTCTCCCTCTCTCTTTCTCACACAAACACACCCTGTCTCTCTAGCTCTCTATCTCACTTTCAATACATCTCATCTATCTATAAAAGGGTCACCAGTTCATCTTGGATCTTTTGGGGTTGCCCCTAACGATATGTTGACTTTATATATGATTAGTCTATGTCAACATGTTCCATTGTATTGTACTATTTTTTATATCGTTGAATAAATGAACTGAATCTATCTCTCCATCACACACACCCTTCCTCTCTCCGTCCATCTCATTCCACCCCTGTATTTCTTTCTTTCAACAAAATTTAGGAAAACTGATCATTAATGAACTAGATGGACCAAGAATAACATTTTTTCATTGATTACATGCTTTTCACCAACACTCTTTTCTTTTTCACTCCACTAAGTTCTTTCTTCCACTCTCAAAAGCATATGCCAAGGATTCAATTACATCATTTTCAGTAAACTGGATCACAAGAAAAAACACAAGCAACCTGTTATAGAGTAAGAACCAAAGTTTATTTTGTAGTTTTTAATGAAACACATGACTGGATATCTCTTCCATGACTGATATCTTGTAAATACCAAAGTTTGCCCAGTATTAGTGTTCATTTATCATTTTTTCGCATGTGTTTTTTTAGATTTTTATGTTTCAGTCAACTTTTTTTTTCTGGTGATATATTATCTATTGGATTTCAGGTAATGCCACAAGGATATTCAGAATGAAATAACAATTTTCTGTATTTTCTAGCCACATATTATTGTAAATGTTATTACTCTATCAACTTTGGGCAACTGTCTAAAGCATGCAAAAAAGAAATAACACAAACAATAAAGAGAAATAACAGCAGGAAAAAAAACAGGAAAAAAAGTAAAACTTATGTACATGAAAGGAAAAACACAAGCTCATTAAGAAAGGCACTTCATCCAAACTATATTCAAAAGTGATAATAATCTAACAATCAGTGAAGGAAAAGAAAATTGATGTCCAATCGTATATACTGTAAACATGCAAGTCAAAATTTCTCAATTTTCTTTTGAAAGATAATGAACTAAATAAAATCTAAATGTGTTTTTCAATAGAACAAAATTACTACAAGATATTATTTCATTGTATTAAGGTGTAACATACTGAAGGGTACATTGTAAATTAAGTGCTATTTCTGACCACAAATAAATGAAATAAATTATAAAAGGTCGCAATACATAAAACACGAAGACGATACACATCAACCAGACATAAGTTGACTTTTTTCAAGTTTTGCTTTTTTTTTTTCTTTTTCATTTTTTTTTCTTCAAGTTCACAATGTGAACTAAAAAAAATCTTTTATTACAAGGTTGCATTTTACAAACCCCCTTTTCACATTTGTGTTTTCAGAGTTTTTCATTTTTTTTTCATTTTTTATTTTTAGGGCGACATTTTTTGCGTTTGTTAGTTTCATTCAAAATTTGACAAGTACTATGACTTTTTTCTATTTTTTTTTCATTGTTTCAAAGAGAATATAAAGACCCGTTTTTAATTTTTATGTAAATCTGTACTTTCATAAGTACATTCTTTTTTTGCATTTTTTTTTTTATTACAAGAATGTTGATCACTGCTTTTGTATTCTACAATCAATTGGCGGGTAGGGTCCTACAAGTTTTGTGCCAACTGGTTTAGGATTGCAATGGGGTTACAAGAGTCGGTGAATCTGAAATCTAAACCACTTCGACAATGCAGCTGTCTGCGAGATGCATAGCCAGACAATTTTACATGTATTTAAAATAAGTTGTTTTGCAGTACATGCGCTAGCACTGTCAAAAGCAATTGCTATCGGCATATTATATTATCTTCCGAATGAATTAAGTGGACCACAACTTTAGAGTTGTGTTTGCCGTGAAGTTAATGAAGATCATACAAGTCATTTTTTCTTTGCTGAGAATTTTTACTAACGTGGGTTGGGATTATTCAGAGAGCGGCGATGTATTGATCTTTACTGAAGAGGGGGGGGGGGGGGGGTGGTCTCTGCAGATGAGGTGCGATAATGGTCTACTGGGCAGGGACTGCGGCTGGGCCAGGGGGCTTGGTGCCTTCCTTCTGGTGGTTCATCAATACCTGGACAGCCTCCTCAACCTGTATTTGTGTGAGAAAGAAAGAGAGAGAGAGAGAGAGAGAGAGAGAGAGAGAGAGAGAGGGGAGGGGGAGGGAGAGAGAGGGGGAGGGGGAGAGAGGGGGAGGGGGAGAGAGGGGGAGAGAGAGAGAGGGGGGAGAGAGAGAAAGAGAGAGAGAGAGAGAAAGAGAGAGAGAGAGAGCGAAAGAGATGTTCAGTACACTATCCGCTGGACAAGTGGCCATGACTTTAATGGTAGGTGGTTGTACTTTCGTCTACCAGCTCATAAGGGCTGGCCGAGACCTTGCAACCTAGGCTGTATGTCTTACAAGACTTCACTTGTGATAACAATGAGTGGGGGTCCACATCTGCAACATTTCTTTACTGACTAGCATTCACAGTAAATGCAGTTTCAGCTAGGAAAAATTAAAACTATCAATCTATCATGACCACACCTCCTCGTACATTTACTGTTGTTACTGACTTTATAGTAGACATTATTTTCTCTTTGACCATGAGGAATAATAGCGATCTCATACTCACCTACAATTACTTCAATATCACAGTAACGATGAATATAATATAACCCTTGCAGGCTTGCACCTATTAGACGATGTTACATCCAAAGGACTTTCAACAGTTGTGTCTATCTCAAATTTTCACCAACATGTAAGCATCTTCACATTTGATTGTTATATTGATGTACTTTTTGTTTGGATAATAAACTTCAAACTCAGACATCAGCATCATAGCCAGGGAAATATAATGTAGTAAATGGTTCAAGGATTGGGTTAAAGTTCAGAAGCATATGGTCACTGTCTACTTAATGATCATTTACATCATCGCGACTATAACATGGTCAAGGTCATTGAACACACACACACGCAACATACCTTCTTCTCCAGTGCTTCCTGTACCTCCAACATGTGAAGCAGCTCAGAGTTGTCAATCTCCAGCAGCATGCCGGTGATCTTTCCGGCCAGGTCCTTGTGGGTCTCCGAGATGATGGAGAAGAGACGCTCACCCAGCATCTGCTTCTGCTCCTGGGGCAGGGCGGAGGCCAACATAGCAGAGGTCAGGGGCTCCTGACCGGGCACGTGGAGGGCCTGCACTGGCACGTTCTCCTGCAAGCAAAGAGTAATGGAATCATTATAAGCATACAAATAATTGTGATACCATGTAAAAGTCTAATTGACACAACCTCAATTTTAATGTATTATGGCTAGGGTCTAGGATTGCTCCTCTTATTCTATCCCTAACTTGATGGACCTTTTTCAGAGATTTCACATAATTCAGCATGATATCAAATTCTTGACCAGTACACAATTATGTCATTTGCATGATGAATTACCAATCTCGTCTCACAATTTCTTATCACCAGCTTTTGAAGAGTCATTGAAACCAAGCCTATCGCGACTAGGAATCTAATAATAGGGACTTATCCTAGTCAATTGATAATTATACAGATCGTAAATGCAAGAAAAATAAAACATACCGCTGGCATTTGTCCTGGCATGCCCTGCCTTGGTACAGCAAACTTCGGGTACTGCTTGGCTGCTGAAAGCTGGGCTCCAGCGCCAAGACGCATCTGCTGCTGGGTTGGGGCTCCCATACCTGGAGAAAAATTACACAGATGTTCATTGTTATCAAGCGTTTGAGCAGGAAACTGTGTTTTATATCCCTTCTATGCCACCAAGTTGTTTGTTATTTCAATTCTTATACATACTCTTCTTTTTTTAAAAGAGCTGAAACTGACTTTCATTGCTTTGCTATCAAAGGAACCGAATTTATGATTGCTTTAATGTTCACGGAGCAAAATGTAAGCTATTATAGTAAAACTATTCTGTTCTAAACTTCAGCACAGGGGTTAATGAAAGGAAGTATGACCTACTTCAGGTAAGAGATGATAAAATGACTTGTTGAGATGGAACAGATAGTAAATACTAGGTGATAGGGTGTCTCATTGAGAGTTTTAAAGCCTGTCTGTACTAGTTTGGCCAGGGGGATTAGACCTCCCTGCAAGGTTACTGACAGGTGGTTATCTCATCAAATCAGCTCTCAATTAACATAAGAAAAAGAGGATCATGGGGAACTGACAGGCACCGATTAGGAATTGTTTGCTATATAGAGGGTGCAAGTAGCTATTAGTAGTACAGTGGGGCTTAAGAGAACGATGAAGAATGAAGGCTTACCTCCGACACGCTGACCAGCTGGTGCAGCCTGGACTGGCACACGCGTTGCTGGCATGGGCTGACGGACCTGTCCTGTGGCTGTTCCTGCCCTCGGGGCACCGAACTGACGACCTGCAGCTCCTGGGATGGTCTGGAAGTTAGGTTGAGCAGCTGAAGGGGAAACACAGTCCATTGTGTGAATTAAGTCAATTCTATTGAAATCTATTATTGTCATGGAACATTCAAATACCCATAAACCATTGATTGATTATTTGAATAGTAATAGGTAAGAATATATTTCCTACTCTAGGTTTATAAACAAATTTGCTTACCATTTCAAACAACTGTAACCTAGAAATTATTATGAATAGTTGATTGTAGTCAACATAGGAATAGTCATGTATTATACAGTTTGGAACCATCTAAGTCACCACAGTAAATAAATCTGGCTGAAAATAAAATAAAGGAAAGCACTAGACACAGCTTTGGGTATACGGGAATGGCTAACATAAAGCACCAAAATTTGGTCAAAAGTGAACTATTTTCTAGTCATACTATATCAAAAAATAAGAGCATTTGGAGAGCAACCCTTTTGATGGGACATAGCTATTATGAATGATACATGTATATTCTTCAACATGGGAATACAAAGTTTTAAAATGGGAAGCTCAAAGCTAACATGTTTAGTTTATCCCAGAGCATGTTAGGGAAAAACATATTTTAACAATTTTGAGGGCTACTTTTCAAGCTTACTTGCATGAAAATAACACTCTTTAATTTGTTTTGCATTGAACTTTAAGCAAATTTTTTTTGGTTCTTTTATGACTTTCGGGGGCACTTTTTGCAATTTTGGGGCTAATTTGCTGCGAGCCCCCGTGTATTTTTCCCCAGAGCATGTGGTTTCTCCTTACTTGTCCTAGCCTGCTGAGGCTGTTGACTCCATCTTGGATGTCTGACCTGAGCTAACTGACCGGCAGGGAAGATGTTCCTCTGAGCTTGGGGCATGGCTGCATAGTGGTAGGCCATGGTTGGGTACACTGGGTTCACCGGCTGCTGGCTTGCCTGTTGCTACAATAATAATTTAAAAGAAGGTTTTCGGATGAAATGGATGTGTGCTAAAAGCACTGCTGGAAGGAAATTCATGTTCATGGCAAAAGAAAGTAACATCTCTGTAAAAGTATATTTCACATATTATGTCAAGACCGGACCTTACAGCCAAGTCATATGTAAAGTCAAAGGTATGTGCACAAATTGTATTTCTTTAACCTACTCCAAGTTTGTGAAAATGAATAAATCCCAACACTGTCTTTTTGCTAATTCACTACAGTTACTTGCTAACAAAACAGCCAATGTTTGTAATCCAAAATTTGTGTTTTTCCAGTTCTCTCTCTATAATTCAAAACACACTTCCTCTCCTAACATGTTCGATGAACATCTTTCTCTTCAGAGCTTAGTAGAAGTATTACTCGCATACTCCTAGGTAAAAATATATTTATTCTGAAAGATTTGTGTGTGTTTGTGATTACCAGATAGGGCAGAATAATCAGAAAATATTTCAAAAGTGAAAATACTTTTTTTGGAGGTCTTATTCCAATTCCACTAGTTTCATAATGCAAAAGATATATGAAATGAACCCCCCCCCCCCCCCAAATCTGACTATCTGAAAACAAAATCAAAATGCACTTACGCCTACTCGGACTTGTGGAGCGACGCGCTGCATGTACTGCGATGCCAGCTGTGCCCGGCGTTCGTCTTTCCGTTGAGCGAGGGCGACGTAGAGAGGTTTGGCCACCAGGATGCGACCGTTCATCTCCGTCACAGCTTTCGTAGCCTCCTCCGGGGACGAGAAGCAGACGAACCCAAAGCCCTTGGAGTTGGCCTTGTCGTCGCTCATGACCTGTGTAACAGAAAGAACATATTTTTGTTTCATGAGGTACCTTCTCAAACTTGGAAATTCTTATTCCACTACATGCGATTGGCATCACAAGATAGATCACTTGTGTTTATTTGTTCATAATTCATATCAAATAGTATCAGTTGTGCCGTTACACCAGAGTGAACATGTAGTCCAGTAATTCTGCTACATTGTTCCATAAAACAGATCACAACATTTACTAACACCCAACAAGATCTTGTATTTCATGCAAAGGACTGATGAAGAATAGTTACTCCCCAACCCTCATGAAGGAAACATTTATAGTTACATTTTAACTTTTAATAACTAACAATATTCAAAGCTTTGCCATCCCTCAAATTTACACATTTCAAAATTTGATATGTAAACCTCATCTTCTTAGAAACAGCTAATACCCAGGGTTTTTTTTTTTTAATCAATATGGCCTGCAATAGAAATATTCGCCTCTTTGGATAATGCATGCATAAATTAAAGCAACCTTATGAGAAGATTTCAAGACTGACTTCTCTGTAATTAGCATATTGTATCAAAATGGCTAATAGGAGTAGGAAATGCTTGCATGCATCTGAAAGTTTAAGAGAGAATTGAAAGACTACCTTAGCGCTGGTGATGGTACCATATCTGCTGAACTCCTTGCGAAGTCTCTCATCGTCGATCTCATCATCCAAGTTCTTGATGTACAGGTTGACTCCCTGGTAGCGGGTGCTTCGTTCCTGTTCGTAGTAGGTGACAATGAAATAGAGAACGGTAATCTCAATCACAAAGTTTCACAACAGAAAGATATTCATTCTCAGGATATTCATAATCTGAAATAGTTTGGAGGTACTGATTGAGAATCATTCTTAAGGTTGCTCATGCGTGGGTATAAAGAGGGCAGCACACTGAGCCAACAGGTCTTACGCTCCAGTGCGTACTAGTTTCCCTTTATGCGTAATACCTGTTGGCTCAGTGCTCGCCAAGTTGCCTACTTCACGACTAGATAATAGCGCTGCGACGAGTAGTCGAATGCTTGAGTACCCGCACTGTTGACAACTAAAATCGTACTCGAATATTCGGCCGCCAAAAAAAAAAAAGAATTCCCAGTCACCTGGCACTATCCAGGCCAACGCTTACCTGTGCCAGGGAGAGCGGCGGCCGCTGGCATGCTACTGTCGGTAAAAATGTTTCCCAACTCAAGCACTGTCAAACTCACCACTCAGAAACTGGTACCAATTGTCCGGATTTCTGTTTGGACTCGGAGGAAAATGGATTATTCTGCCATCTTTGGTTTTTAAAACAGCATTGTTTACTGTTATTATTATTAAATCGGCGCCTTCAACTGCAACTCGAAGTAAAATTGCATGCGTTTTCGGCGACGGACCTGGAATACTGCTCCAGTGGTATGGTGGTGGCAAAAAAAATCAAAAAATCAAAAAATTCAAAAAATTATAAAAAAACATGGCGTCCGAATATTCGAGTATTCGCTTGTAAACCTGGGAGTGATCTCGGGTACCTCATTACACTGTTGTGCACAGCCTTACTAGATATCCACGCATGAACATCTTTAAATAAAGCAAGAGATGTTATCTGTGAATACATGTAAAAGTCAAAGGGGAAAGATCAATAGCTGCTGACCTCTAGAGCCAAAATTTATATTTGTTCAATCAAGGAGGGAATTGCAGGGATATCTTGTAAACTAATTTGCTACATAAAAGCTACTTCCTTTCTAATAAAATGCTATTGCCAATCTAGTGAAAGCACAAATACACATTCCCCAAATATCAATTTTGCCTATTTGTATTTTATTGAGCTATGAAGAAGCCAAACAGCTGGAGGGGTTGGCACTCTTTCAATTCACCACATCAAGCTACAAACCTGCTTCAGTGCCTCAAATCTGGCTTTGAGTTCTGCTGCCCTCTCTGCCTTCTTCTGAGCACGACCTGCATACAAGGTCCTGCCATTCACCTCAGAGCCGTTGATGGTCTTGACAAACTGTAGAGAGGAGAGAAAGAAGGCAAATATTCCTATATTAGACTCTTCATATTGCTTAAGATGGAACGAAGAATGCTCTCCAGGGTAATAACTCGGACAAGGAATCCACGTTCAAAATAAATGTTAAATCAAACATCTTTAGATGAATGACCATCTTGCTCACTATGGGTCATTTCCCCCAAGATCGATAGACTATAGACTCGGCAAGAAATAATTGTAGGTAAGTCTATTTCTTGTTTAAGATATAAATGTGAATTCTCCTTCTCTACATTTTCCATGGACAAGGCACAATCATTAACCAAGGGGAGCACTAGAAGAAGAGGAAGGACTAGGGAGGGAGCAAAGGATAGGGAGAGAAAGAGGAAAGAGAGAGAGAGAAAGAGGGAAGAGAGAGAGAAAGAGGGAAGAGAGAGAGAGAAAGAGGGAAGAGAGAGAGAGAAAGAGGGAAGAGAGAGATAGAGAAAGAGGGAAGAGAAAGAGGGAAGAGAGAGTGGGGGAGGGTGGAGGGTGGAGGAAAGGGAGAAGACTCACATCGTTAGCAGCCTCATGATCCTCAAAGCTGATGAATCCGAACCCTTTGCTCTTGGAATCATCAAACATGATCTTAGCTGAGAGGATAGAGCCATACTGGCCACCAAACTCTGCCAGTTTGCCATCATCCACATCCTCAGCCAGGTTCTTGATGAACACGTTGGTGAACTGCTTCTGATGATCACCCATCTGCATTAGACGCTCTTTGCGAGGGATGAAATAACCTACATACCTGTACAAAAAAAGAAAAGTATAGAGTGTACCGACAGGAGTAGAAAAAATGTTTGGCATTTTAGCTTTATTTGGCATTATGGATACTGAATTTTTTCATGTGGACATGTGGTTCTGAGTGTTAAAGTGTGTAATGTGATATTTTGTGATATGATGCAGAAAAAAAACCCAGCTAAATCTAAAAATGTAATGAAATATCACCCAATTATTAGACAATAATTAATTAAAATCAATAATTATAATGATTATATTACACTCAAATATGCATTGAATACTTATGTGTCTATTTATCTACCAAATACTTACACTTTCTTTCCGTTCAGCAACATACCATTGACCTTTTCAATGGCTTTGTTGGCTGCCTCTTGGGTTTCAAAATGGACAAATCCGTAACCTTTGTTGACCCCATTCTCATCTGTCACAACCTGAAGACATAGAAAAAGTAAAAGAAGAAAAAAGGAAATGTCTTTTAATAGAACCATCACAATGTAAGGAAAGACTGTAGTGTAAGGGCCTGTGTCTCATGCTGCCTACTAATCACACATTACTGACTGATCCTAACACACAAAAAAGTTCTTACAAATCAATTTGATCTTCAAACCACTAAAAGTCAAGTTTTATGCCATGGGAGCTATCAAAATTGTTTTTCTTCACAAAATACATGAGCATAGAAATCATTTTATCCACTTCTAATTTAGAAAGCAAAATTTTTAAAAGAAATTACAAATATTCTTCTTTCCATAGAGATACTGACATGTCTACACTCTACAGTGACATTTGGAAGATAGATTATTGGTTTTTACTTTAATTTTCCTCTATTGGACGTTTAAGAAAGCATTTCCATATTTTATTTTTTTCAAAACTGATAACTGTTGGATAATTACCTTACAGGACAAGATGTGTCCGAAGGCAGAGAAAGTGTCATACATGGCCTTGTTGTCAATAGATTTGTCCAAGTTCTTAATGAAGACGTTACCAACTCCAGATTTCCTGAGTGAGGGATCACGTTGAGACCACATGATACGAATGGGACGCCCTTTCAGTGTGTCGAAGTTCATAGTGTCTAAGGCACGCTCAGCTAAAAGAGTAAAAAAAAAAAAAATGGTAGGGATTAGTGGGGGAGGATTCATTTCATATATCTTTTGTATTGTACAACTGAACTAATGGAATTGGAATAAGACCTCAAAAAAAAGTCTTTTCACTTAAATAATATGCCCTTTCCGGTAATCACAAACAAACCCACACACAAAGGTAACACAGAAATTATTGCAAGTTAACGACTGTAAATGTAATGTCAGATCCTCATTAAATTTATGCAAGACATTCACATTAAGAATATGAGTTGATGATGAACATTAGTCGCTAACTTCATGCGGCACGTGCGCAGGCGGCAACGAAACCTGTTGGTATGCACTTGAAATTGTGCAGCTGTTTGCCGTAAAACCAGAAAGAAAAATCTATGTTCTAGACCTAATCGTCCCTATTTTCACGAAGTGACGGTAGTGAAGAAAATCTCATACAATTTGCGTGACGATTTTCCTCACTACCGTCACTTCGTGAATAGGGCATAATGTCTGTTTTAGGAAAAGTACCGTACTCAAAAACAGATTTTAAAATTGAAATGAAACACTGACTGACGATAAGGACGAGTCAGCAAGTGAAATATAATGTCCAACATTTTGCAAGTAGATTCTAACTTATTAGATCTAGAGTAGAGAGTAGAGTCTACGCACAATCATGATCAACATTCAACATGATCAATGACAGCATAAATCAATTGTTGCATTTCATTAGACAATATTACATTGAGAGTAAGAATATCTGACTCTGGATGAGGCCCTGCCCCCCCCCCCCCCCCAACATTTTAATTCCCTTTCTTCTCACCATCTGCTGGTTGTTGGAAATTGACATAGGCGTAGCCCAATGAACGACGTGTGATCATGTCGCGACAGACTCGGATGGACAAAATCGGTCCGGCCGTTGAAAACTTCTCAAAAAGCAGGGCTTCTGTAACGTCTGCGTGAAGATCACCGACGTACAGCGAATTCATAGGGTAATTCTGTCCTGGTTGTTGCATCTTGGATGATTTTCAGAGTCAGCGATGGCAGCAAATGTGTAGAATAGTCCTGTTACTTTTCAAACCTCACGAATATCACAATGAAGTGCACGTTTGTTGAATGGACAATATGGCGAGAACCGACGTGAAATAGACGATGGAAGAACGAGAAATTTACGGCAAGATACAACAGATCTTCAGAGACAAAGGATCTAAAAACAATATTTTTATATAATTTCACAGTTTTGTATTTTTTTTGTATTTTTTAATTTTTTTTTAACGCAAAAAATGACAAACTGTACGGAGACAGCTCTTTTGCCCTCTTCTACAATCTGTGTAGACATGCGAGAGAGAACGAAATATAGAATGCTGCGCATGATCGATAACGGCCATTTAATTATCGTTCCGCGCGGAAGAAAATATAGTTCCATATCATATCGAATAGTCATCCGAACAAAAAATAATATGCCGGAAGCATGATTCATTAATTTTGATTATAACAAGAATGGTTTATATTTTTGTCAATTCGATCAACCATTTTAAAGGTATTTGTCCATTCAAATCTCACGAGCCCAAGTAATGCGGTTCAAGGGCGTGTGATGCGGATATTTGCTCACTCCATTCACGCGGCATATTCTGTATTCGCTTCTACTACGTAAGTCACCATGCTTGAGTATCAGCGAAACTTCGTTGACTCATTCTCAAAAAATTATGTCGCAATCGCTTTACAACTTCATTGATGGCCATGTGAGGCAAAAGGCACTTCGCACAATGTCTATTGTACACGAGTTTATGTTTCATTCAGTTTTATCTTGATTTTGAATACGATAGACCCCCTATTCAAGATTTCATTTAATTGCTGTATAGTTTAATTGCTTATCATTTGATCTAATTTTGTACAACTTAATCCGATATTCTTGCGTTATTACAAATATTGTAATAAGTAGATAAGATAGAGCAGGAGAGAGACTCACTCGCTGCCAAAATAATCGGGGGTATACTGAATGAAAAAAATAACATTCACGTATTTACTTATCTGTTTGTTAATTCAAAGCGTGCGTACTGCACTTCAAGTGCAGTACGCACGATTTGAAATTAAAAAAATATATATTTCTAATATATAGGCCTACTCCCGGGGCCTACTTTAAAAAACCGTGATATATAAGCCGCACGCACTTGCGCAATCAGCTCAAAAACTGGCTTATTGATCATACGAAACCATGTGAAACTTAGCTGTGCGCAGCAACTTTTAGCCAATCACGGCTCGGTATTTTGATGCGCACACTAGCATATCGACGACGAAACTAAGTGAAACTAATTGATATGTTTACAAAATTATCTTCTCTCTTAATTATACGGTCGCGGGTCGCCATGTAAGCAGGCACGTAGCCACTGGGGCACGGGGGGGGGGGCACATGCCCCCCCCCCCCAAAAAAAAATCCAAGATCGGTTGAACTTTTTTTAGACCCCTTTGTTTTACCTCGATCGATTACATGTATGTAGGTGCCCCCTCAAACATCAATCTCTGGCTACGTGCCTGCATGTAAGAAGCTCATTCCTAATGTCTTGGATAATGTCTGTCAATCATACATTTTTCGCAAGGACGCGAGTCAATATTGCAAAGAAGTCCAAAATATAGTGCAATCAATAAAGCCCTAATTCGAATCATGTTGAAAGATAGGATACACATTGACATGTATCTTCTTCTCTATTTTCTTCTATTTTTTCTGCCTTCATTGACAACCCTGTCAAAGAGAGAGGGAGAGGGGCCAGGGAAAAGATGGAGGAAAAAAGCGGGAGAGATGATAAAAGAGAGAGAGGGGGAAGAGAGAGAGAGAGAGACCGAGAGAGATGGGGTTGTGATAATATGGGAAACATTTTAAGTAGAGACCTTTTTTATGCCTCCGCCACCGAAGGTGGTGCCGGAGGCATCATGTTTTCGGGTTGTCCGTCCGTACGTCCGTACGTCCGTCCCGTTTGACCGTTATCACAATATCTCAAGAACCATTTAAGATTTAAACTTAAGACTCGGGAATAGTATTTATCACCATAGGAAGACGATCTGATTAGATTTTGGAGTACGTAGGTCAAAGGTCACAGGTCACAGAGGTCAACTTATGAAATTCCTTGTATTGAGTTTGTTAGCGCGATATCTCAAGAACCATTTGAGATTTAAACTTCAAACTTAAGGATAGTATGTATCACCATAGGAAGACGATCTGATTAGATTGTGGAGCACGTATGTCAAAGGTCAAGGGTCACAGAGGTCAACTTATGAAATTCCATACATTGAGATTGTTATTATGATATCTCAAGAACCACTGGAGATTTAAACTTCAAACTTAGTGATAGTGTGTATCACTATAGGAAAACAATCTGATTACATTTTGGAGCACGTAGGTCAAAGGTCAAGGGTCAAAGAGGTCAACTTATGAAATTCCATACATTGAGATTGTTATCATGATATCTCAAGAACCACTGGAGATGTAAAAACTTCAAACTTAAGGATAGTATGTATTACCATAGGAAGACGATCTGATTAGATTTTGGAGCACGTAGGTCAAAGGTCAAGGGTCACAGAGGTCAACTTATGAAATTCCATACATTGAGATTGTTATCATAATATCTCAAGAACCACTGGAGATTTAAACTTCAAACTTAATGATAGTGTGTATCACCATAGGAAGACAATCTGATTAGATTCTGGAGCACGTAGGTTAAAGGTCAAGGGTCACAGAGGTCAACTTATGAAATTCCATACATTGAGATCGTTATCGCGATATCTCAACAACCACTGGAGAATTTTCACTTCAAACTTAATGATAGTATGTATCACCATATCATAATATCTCAAGAACCACTGGAGATTTAAACTTCAAACTTAATGATAGTGTGTATCATACATTGAGATTGTTATCATGATATCTCAAGAACCACTGGAGATTTAAACTCCAAACTTGTTTAAATTGCTCTATGGCGGAGGCATCACTTTCGACTGCGCGCAGTCAAAATTCCATCTAGTTTTATATATTTTTTTTTTAATTCAATTATTCTCGTAGATTCATGCTCTGATGATGACAGCCTGATCGATTTCAGAGTTGCTGAAAAGGTTCTAATGGTAAGTGGCATTTCCAAGTTTAAGGAAAAAATCCACATGTAAATGTTTAATTGCATATAAAATCATATCTTACAAAATGGCACTTTCTTAAAGTTGTTTACTTTACTTTATTGACTTTAATCCAGCGATGCTAATTTAGGACTATACCTGTTCACCGATCGCAGGTGTCTTACTAGTGGTTATAATATAAGCCTACATTATCCTCGTCACTTCAAATTAAAATAGTTGAATAAGTGGAAAAGGACAAAAATGAGTGCAAACTTGCGATATCAGCTTATACAGGCTCATGGACAAGGTCATGGTTTTTAGATCAGTACTTACCTGTCAATTCTTACATGACTATTTCGCTTTATATTCTGGGGAAAAGGTGTAATTCTACAGTGTTAGATGCTACACTGTAAAAAAGAATTTGTTCATTGGTAATTTTTACGTATTTTTTCCATGTAGAATTTACTTGAAAACATTAGTTTAGCCACTTACGCACTAAATTTAAGTCTTGCTAACTCAAACTTTCAATTTAGTAGAACATACGTGGAATATTTAAGTAACATCAAATACATAAGAACTTTAAGTAATTTCAGCTTGTATTAATTTAGTAATTTTAACTCAAAATCAGAAATTATACGTATTACTCAAACAATTTATGTTGATTATTCTTATCTTTTTAAAGTAAGGACCGATGCAGTGCGTAATAGAAATATTTACATAATTTATGAATATTCATTAAGACCAAATTAAACTCTTTTTAAAATAAAACAATTCTTTTTTGTGGTTGAATGAAAATTTAAGGACTTTAAAACATTTACTAATTCATTTAACATGGCTAAGCAAAGACAAGACAATTTTTAATTGTTACCCAGTTCAAAACAAATAAAAACTTGATATTTCAGGAAATTGTCAACCAACTTTCCTTTTAAGATGCTACGATCAAGTATATGTATAAAATTTGGAGCCTTTCAATATGTGTCGAATTGAAGCGTATGTAATAGTTTGTGATGGTGGTAGATATATATATATACGGTTAAATCTTAAATAGAAGTAGTGAATGATTAGTGGATGTTACTTGTTAGATTAGATGGGTACCAAATCGTGCAATATGTAATTCTATCATAGCTTTTTTTTAATTATCTAAAATGATTACAATACTTAAATTATATACGTTAATGTAACTCGATTTAACTGAGTAAAAATTTATTCAGCAAAATAAGTAATTTCTACTTAAGATGCCGTAGGTAATATTTACTTAATAAAAATAAGGCAATTCTTTTCCTCAATTTTATTGAGTTATTTCGACTATTATTTTTTTACAGTGTATACTTGTTGTAGGTTTATGTCTAAAAGACATTAAAAGGTATCTAACAATATGATTATTAAACCTCAGAATTCATAGTGTCAGTCTTTATCATGTTTATGTGTTAACTTGGGATTCAAATAATTAAAATATAGAGATTCTCATTAATGCAACCTTCATGACATTTATCGTGGAAGATATTTTTCCAATAAAACTTGTGTTATGAACAGAAGAAACACCCCCGCAACAATAATTGTCATCATCAATTATATATTACTGTTTGGTATATATTTCCTCATTCATTTCATTTCTCTACTTCAGTCTTAATGTCAGAGAGGACAGCGACGAGTCAGTGAACCTTGAAAATTTGCCCGTATTTGGTTGCCTAATAGGAGGAGGAGGCCCGGCCCCACTTAGGTTTTTTAGGGTACACATATGCATGTTCCCTCCCTTTGAAAACACCCCCCCCCCCCCAAGTCCGGTGTGTAAAGTCAATACGGGCTGATTTTTGTTTGTGTATTATGAGCAGGACTTTGTAGCGTGAAAAGTACCCCTTTTTTGGATTTTGGGAACATGGATGCTGTCTTTCCTTCCCGGAGTGGGGGGGGGGGGGGGGAGGAGGAGGAGGAGCCGAGGAAGAGGAGGAAGACGGCGAGCAGGACGATGGTTGGCCACAATGTCGTCCAAGATCCTGGCGATGAGGAGGCTCATGGCGAGCTTTGGTGGATGAGGATAGAGAATGAGCCAGAGGAGGATGAGTACATTGACAGCGATGAGTATCAAAGCAGGTTAGATATGGACTTTAAGGAGGGTGCAGTATAGGCAGGGGCGTCTCCAAGGGGGGGGGGGGTGGGGGTGCGACACCCCACCACCTGTCAGGATATTGTCGGTAAAACTGCGCTGCCGTCGGGAAAAAAGAGAAAAGGGGGAGGGAAAAGGAAAGGGAAGGGAAAGAAGGAAAAAAAAGGAAAAGAAAAGAATGGAAAGAAAGGAGAGAAAGGAAGGAAAAGAAAAGAGAAGAAAGAAAGAGGGGAAAAAAGAAAAAGAGAGAGGAGAAGAAAGAAAGGAAAAGAAATGAAAGGGGGGAAAAAGAGAAAAGGGAAACAAAAGATACGGGGGGTGAAAGAGAGGAGAGAAAGGGGTGGTAAGAGCCTGAGAGAGGAGGAGTGGGAGTAAAAGAGAGATGGGGGTTGTTGGGTGGAGTCGTCTCGTCGAGAGAGCAAGAAAGACACGCATACACGTAAATATGTTGCTGTGTCGAGTCAGCTGTGTCGGTATTCTTGCTCGATCCTCGTGTACTATATCAATTCAGAAGTTTGAAGTCGGTGAGATAGATAATGTCGGTCGGCTGACAATTTATTTTCCCCTACGAACTGTGACCTTTATCCGCTGTGACGACTTCGAGAGTGACTACAACTATAATACTTGTATTTTCTCGAAGTTTCACTTTCCTATAATATCAGCTAAAGAAATCAGAGGTTTAAAATTTTCGGGAAAATTAAAAACAAGGATTAAGAGTCAACAACGGTACAACGAATCGTCTTCCTTTCTCTAATATTTTGATGAAAACGCCAAAGCTTCCGCGCTTCGCGCAAGAGGCGGGAAACTGAATGAATTAGGGTTAAGAGTCGCGAACGGTATAACGAGTCGTCTTCTTTCTATAATAATTCAATGGAACGTCACAGCTTCCGCGCTTCGCGCGGGAGAGGAAACTGAATTCAGACAAGGACTGATAGTCAGGAACAGTACAACGAATCGTCTTCCTTCTATGATAATTAAATGAAACGTCAAAGCTTCCGCACTTCGCGCGGGTAGGGGGGAAACTGAATTCAGACCAGGATTAAAAGTTGTGAACTGTACAACGAATCGTTTTCTTTTTCTAATGATTCAATAAAACGTCTAAGCTTTCGCGCTTTGCGCGGGAAGGGGGAAACTGGATTCAGTGAGACAAGGATTAAGAAACAAGAACGGTACAACGAATCGTCTTCTATCTCTTATAATTTAAGGAAACGTCTAAGCTTCGCGCAGGAGGGGGAAAATTGAATTTAGATAAGGATTAAGAGTCGCGAACGGGACAACGAGTCGTCTTCTTTCTACAATAATTCAATGAAATGTCAAAGCTTCAAAGCTTCAAATCTTCGCGCGGATAGGAGGAAACTGAATTTAGAACAGGATTAAAAGTTGTGAACGGTACAACGAATCGTCTTCTTTCTATAATGATTAAATGAAATGTCAAAGCTTCCGTGCTTCGCACGGATAGGAGGATAGTAGTCAATTTCATTCATGTTATAAATATAAATTACCTTGAACAAATAATGTATATGTTTGTTAATTTGTTAATTTAATGTTTGCAAATGAAAATCAATAAAATCCCTGTGGAGGGGAAAAAGCATGAGAAAAAAAGTAGTCGCCCCCCCCCCCCCCCCTTTCCCTACTTTTCTCTCTCTCTCTCTCTCTCTCTCTCTCATTCTCTCTCTCTTATTTTTATTTGTTGGCCTTCCGCTATCCATTACGTATTGTTTAACAGTATAATTATATATTGTGTTAACATTTTATTCATGATTTGAACGTTGGCTCAAGCTGTGCCTATGACGACCCCTTTTTTTATGTATGCTTAATTTTTATGTGACTATACATGTTGACAAATTATATATGTGTAATGATTTATATGAAAATAAGATTTAACTTGGCCCATTTTCAAAGGGGGAGACATGGACCGGCGAGAGACGGAGTGAGGGCTAGTGAGAAAGACGACTTAACAATATTTAATGAAGATCATGAATTTGTTATTATGTCGTATCAATAAATTCACTTGCGCGTCAGTCGCTAGAAGTCAGCAGCTGGTTTGGCTATTATCTTCATCTTTATAGCTGGATGCGCATAGTTGCAGCCAAGTTTCATCATCACAAGGCCGTCGAGATATGGCGTGAATGCAATGATCAATGAAGAATGTTATTTTCCACAAAGTGGCGCCTCATTGAATTCCACACGCCAATTTACCAGTCTTGTACTTGGAATTTGGTCTTCGAGGAGCAGTGAGAGAATTATTGGAGCTTGCACGCATTTTATGTTGAAAATCTTCAACCAAATGTACCCAGAGATATTTTCTTTGAATTTCTAATGCTCTGCACTTCTGACGCTGTCGGTCTTTATGTATATCCCTTTTCCTATGATCCCACCCTCCTCCCCCCCCCCCCTCTCTCTCTCTCTCTCTCTCTATTTACCTTTCTATCTGTATATTTCGCTCTCTTTCTCTCTCGCTCTCTATTTCCCTTTCTCTCTCTTTCTATATCTCTTCTCTTCTCTAACTATATCATTCTATCTATCTCCGACGCTTTCTCTCCCTTTCTCTCTGTCCCAGCTTACATCATTCTCTCTCTCTCTCTCTCCCTCTCTCTCTAGTTCTCTTCTGTCTCCGTCTCTTAGCGTATCTTTTGATTTTTCTTCCTTTCTAGAACTTAATGATAGAAATACGTCGAACTATAGTATTCACCGAGATAATGAAAAGAAGGTGACAGTTTTATTTCATCATCATCATCATCATCAGTTGTCAACCCTCGCACTAAACTTCCCATTGAGTATGCCCTATATACCCGGTATCAAAACACCAACATTTATTGTACAAAAAAAAGGTTTCATGGAAATGCTTTCCCAGTTTCCTGTCATTTGCACTTTCAAAGAAAGTAGGAACTAAGGCTACTGTCAAATGCAATCAAAAACCAATAAGAAATTGATGACATCCGACTCTTCATTACAAAACGGAAGAATGTCTTCCATATTAATAAAAGAAGACTTCTTGTGGGCTCCAAATCGTTTAATGTTATTAAAGCAAAGGCGACAGCAGGCTTTTACAAATTCTCGGTACCAAAAATACATCTTCCATGTTCATCGTCAAGTGGGGATAATGGACCCTAACAAGCGGAAATCAAGAAAACACTTTCTATGGACTTTTACCATGATCATTGAAATGGGTCCTTTTGTTAGCCTTGGAAGAAGAAAGAAGAGAAAAGGTCACGCATCACCACTCCCCCTCCAATATCTGTCGCCCGTGAAGTCAACAAAATGATTTCCGAAGCAACCACTGAAATACGATGAAATTCGGTTATCTACTCGTCTAAATAATTCTAATAAAGACAGGCGGGGCGCAGTAAGATGGGACTTTCATGGAAACGTAAATGACTCATCCAATCATTTAGATGAAATTCATTTGCAATTTCGTACAGCTGATTTGATTCATGAAGGAGGAAGTAGCATACCTAGAAATCCCTTTCATATGTTATTGAAATCTCTAATAAGTTACCTGAAGATACAAGTTAAACATTAACTCAATTGTGGTAACCCCCCCCCCCCCCTATAATAAAAATTCTATATTATTTTTTGCGTGAATACTATAAACTGTTAAGAAAAAGTGAGACATAACTCAAGGACACGGGCAGAGCCACATATTTTTTACACGTCGTTTAAGAGTTTAAAATGCATGACAAGCAATAAAAGAAAGATGGAAGAGAGGAAGAAAGAAACTAAAGAAAAAAGAAAAAGGAAAAAGGAAAGAAAGACAGAAATAGAGAAATAAATAAATAAAGTGAGAAAGAAATAGAGAGAAGGAGAGAGAGGGAGACGGAAAAAGGGAAGGAAAATGGGGATTTTCTTGAACTGTTATTTGTCAAAAAATCTCAATGAAGCCAACCCCCCCCCCCCCCCATCCGAAAAAGCGTTAAGTGTCAGTCATTATTGAAAACAACTTACTGTGCGTGTATATGGAAAAGTATTTTAAGATCAATTTGCTAAACTTGTTTGTCCTTTGCAAATGTATACACAGTCTAAACTTACAGCATTGGAAAATGACGGCTTGAAACTTTCAAAAGCTTTGCAATCATAACAAGTTAAGATCATTCAGGATAATGGTAAATTTACCCCGAAACAGCCTTGTCTTTTAAACACAAGTTATAATTCTAACTTTGGAATAGAAACGGGGCTTATGGTTACATTTCTTCAAATGAAATCTTTTTTGTTCAATCAAACTTAAAATTCAATGAATGCGACTCCAAACGTGATTTCTCCAGTTCAGAAATGAAATGTATAAACAAAATCTCTCATAATTTGAAAAGAACAAACTCAATCAAATTAATAATGCATCATATTTCTGTGTAAAAGGAAATTGAATTTTCTCGAAAGAAATTATTGCTCCTAACAGATTTTGAAAAAGATACTTTTCAATTCTACCTGGTGATTGGTTTCGGTAGTCAATTTCGGGAAAATAGGAAAGTTGATGACAATATTATGACTATTTGATGCTTCAATCAGAATTTCGCTTCGACACGCTTCAAAAAGAAAATAACGGATAAAACGTTTCATTTTTCACAATGCTTCATTGATAACCATGTCATGCATTACTGTCTTCACAACGCAAGTACGTTGACTTATGACGGTACGTGCTTTGATTGGTCGGGGATAATTGTATCACATGACTACAGAATACGGGAATGAGCCAATAGGATCGTTATACTGTATGTGACCCTACTCTCTGTATCTTCCGCGCCGTGGGCTCGCGAGCCAGGCGGGCGCTGCGATTGTATCAGACAGGAAGTTTACATGAAGTGAGGGAACAGCGAACGGGATTTGCCTCACGCGCCTCTCCGTGACTAAGTCATCAGGGGGAGTCTAGGAATATTACTGTATCGTCTGCTAGTGCTGTATTCGTGTTTTTGCATACAATCTTCGAACATATCCGCGGGGGAAATCGAGTGCACTGGGTGCTCTTCGGATAGCATTTAAAGCCTTCTGATTGGCAAAATATGAGCGTTTTATGATAAGCATCGCTTCATCTTCTGTTACCAAGAAAGGATTCAAAGACGACCTCGCGTTTCCTGCAATTTTGTAGAATCATATCCTGATAGAAGCCTCCTTTTTGCGACATGAGGAAAGTAAAATGACAATAGTCCTAGTGGAATTGTCAAGGATCATAATCGGGATGAGTGAAGTCACCAAAGAAATAATTATTAGGATGCCATTAAATTGTGACGATCTACAAGAGGAGAAATAGCTGTTAACAAAAAATTGTGAGTTTATTCCAACTTGTGATTTGATTTTCTAAGAGGATTGTGAACATGGCTCATTTGATCGCACTCTTGCTGGCGGCATGTACCGTGACTGTTGCTGGAGCAAACGGAGCTTTTGGTTCTGGTAAGTAGAATTCGTCTAAGAATCAAAATTAATGTTTAAATTAACTGAAAGGCCAACTTACTAGTTCCTTCAAATGTTTTACAAAGGCCTGATTTGTATTAAAACAAACGAGCAAATTATTCTTGACAGCTTGAAAAGTTGCCAAAGATAGCAAGCAAGATGGGTGCCATCCATAGAGGCAGTGACGGATTTCAGGAAGAAGAACACCGGCCGGTTCCTCCTAATCTTAAAAGTCACTGTGGCATACCTTAAGTACAATGTACCCCTCCACATTGTCTTCATGTGCCTCCTTCATATTTTAAACACAGTTTTGTGAATATTGTGCCTCCTCCATTCACCAAATCCTGGATCCGACCCTAAAAAGAGGTGCTATTTCGAAGTGAATTTTTATATTTCCAAAGTGTTCGGGGGGGGGGGGGAGTGAGATTTTGTGTTCAGATACATTTATACAATAGAACTTTAATTCGGATGTACAGATGGCCTATTTTATTCGTCCTTTTTGTAACAACATCATCCGTTTTTACAAGTAAAAATGCACGAAAACAGCGTAAGTTAGGTGCCCCTTCTTGAAGACGATAAAACACTTGATGAGACATTCATCTCTTTCATCGTAGCAAGGTTAAAGTATAGTATCTGAAAGTATACGCATGAGGCACAGCTGTTTGATTCTCAATCTGTAACGTATTCCTTGCATTATAATCATCTGCCATGTGCAGCCCTATACGACTGTAACTATCTTCTATACATTAAAAGTATCTTGTAACATTATAACTTGTTTCAACTATTATTATGCAACATTCGGATACGAATGAGAAAATTATTGTAAGTATCGCCATGTTACTTGACATGTCTGAATGATAAAAAGCAATCTTTGTTTCAATATGCATGGTATAAAGATTTAAAAAGACGAATGGACATAACGACGATTTTGACACACTATGGCAGTTATCATTTTCGAGGCAAGAAATTTACAATTCTCCGGATAAGCGTGCTACGTTGCTGGCGAAGATCAAAGTCTCTTTACTAATTAAATTATCGAAAATCTAATTGCTCCTGGTGTGATTTCAATCTGTCAGTACATAGCTGTAGTATAGTGTAGTGTAGCCCAGGTTTCCTTCTCCTCCTTCTTCTTCTTCTTCTCCTTCTTGCTTCCTCTTATTCTTCTTCTTCTTCTTCCTCCTCTTTTCCCTCTTTTTCTTCTTCTTCTTAATAAGAATAATATTCTTCTTTTTCTTCTCCTCCTTCTTCTTCTTCTCCTCCTTATTCTCCTTCTTCTTCTCCTTCTTCTTCTCCTTCTTCTTCATCTTCTAGTTTTTCCATCCTTCTTTTTCTTCTTCTTTTGTTATTGTTGCCATGTGGTCTTTTCAACCAGACGTAGTCTCAGTGGGGCATCACTCCAAGGAGAAATGGACTGATTATTCGGTCTGTAGCACATACTCATTACTGTATCATTCTGTCAAGAATACGTTGCTATGAGAGACGTACCTCGGACAATCCTCTTTTATTTCAAGCCATGAATTAATGTTAGTTTTACTGGAATATCGCCCACACAACTTCCTATCATCATTAACTTGTGATAATTTGTTTTTTATTAAGTTGGTATTGCTGTTTTAAGACTTCAAAACTTGCCCAAGGCTAAGAATATTAATGTCAACAACGCGTCACAAATTTATTCATGTCATGAAGCCAAATTGCATGATCATAATTAAACAGGTGCACAGAATAGTGTTGCACTGTTTGCGTTCTGAATAACACAGTGCTCGTAATATTAGTGTTAGGTGTTCACATGGTACCATTTATATGAGCTTCGAGCTTTCCAAAGATTTAATTAATCCACTCTATTAATACACGGAAGTGGAAATCCTTTTTGGGAGTCTTTGTTAGAGATCACTACTTTTAGAGTTGACTCAACTCAAAATATAGTTAAATTCACTGCCCATTAGTGGTTCTATTGCGAGTTTTGAGAGTTATTATTCTAGTTTGAACATGGATCTTCACCCTAGAAGTATTGATCCCTTAATCTGACCCCCCCCCCCCCCCACGCCCCCAGTGGATTTCCACTCTTGTAATTTAGAAAATAGATGTGAACTTAATGCAATGTGATAGAGAGAAATGCATGACCAATAAAGCATGGAGATACTGTGTTGCACTGTTGGTTTCTTGCCTTGATTATCATTGCGTTATTAAAATACATTCGGTATTGACGCGGTATCAATTCATGCATATCAATAAGTTTAGGCTTGATGAAACGGCTTGTCATTCTCTCTGTAAGGCATTGGCGGTAGAAAATTCAAATAAAGTCTCACCTGATGCTGTGAACTGTGTATTTTCCGACGCCATCCCTGTTATCGCATTCATTTTGGTTATCACCACCATAATGCTCGATACACTATAGGCGCCATTTGGTAACGTATAGGACCGCGTTAACAACTGGCGCCGCCTTTGACTCGCCAAAATGAGGGTGACATCGCACCCCCAAAATAGTGAGTGTGAAATGAACAGTACTAACTACTGGCGCTTGCACTCTTATATTCAAACATTGATTAACATAGGTAATAACGCAACTGAAATGACGCCTCATGTGCAACAGACACAACCAAAATGCAGACGGTGTCAGGAAAAAAAAAAAAACTTCGACCCTCTCCCCCCGCTGCTCCTATCTTTTATCATCATGGTTAATGAGTCAATCTTTGCCGAGTGGAAATCTCCCAGTTATTATATCGCTTAATTCGTCTCTGTTCTTTATTGTTGTTCAGTTCTATTCTCCTTATATACAATTAAAATTCATCCTTCTCTGATTTGATAAAACGAATTTCATTCACCTTTTCTGTAATATTTTTGTTGCCCAACTGCAATCACTATACAGTCCAGTCTGCATTTGACCAATATGAGAATCCCGCACTGCCCCCCCCCCTTTAATTCCTCGTCAATTCCACCTGTCCGGTTTATCGGCGTTACACACGGAATAGTTCTTGGCGCTCTTGGGAATCGAGACGGACTCGACTCGGAGGAAAGGAAGAGCGTGTACCACCATGACATTACGTGGGTGAGGTGTGATGAGAGGGACTTCCCCTAAAAACAAGAGGTGCAGCTGAGGGGATACACGAGGGGACACAATAGCCCTTTCGTTCGTTTTATAATAAGAAGCGTTGGCATGGGTAACCGAGATGGGTAACAGTGATTTGATATTGACACCAGTCTGGGGAACTTCATAATAAAAATAAAAAAACGAATGTTTGTTATTATTTTTTAAACTATTGTGCTAAGCTTTTTTTTCCTGATTGGAAGAGGGCGTCACTTTTCCTAAGCCTGACCGCCAGAGATATCCAATTTAAAGAAATGTATTCTAATTCATTCTATTTGTTTGCAAATCCATATACATTATGGCTTGTCCTACCTAACAACACAATTATTCGTAACAGGTGAATGAAATAATTTGTAACGAGGCACTTAACAATATTTGTGCATTCATTTGATTAAATTACGAAGATGTCCAATTCCCGGCTGGCCAATGTCTAGTACTGAAAAACAATAATTATTTCTTCAAAGTGTTGACATATCGTTTATGGTAACATGATGTGCCAGTTCCTAATCCCATTCACCTATCATCGACTTTGCACATCATAACCACATTTGAGTTAAGATTTCCAACAACCACTAAGACAAAGAGATGAGAGTGCATTTTGGTTTTCGAAAAGTTTATCATAACAACCGTTGTCTCCTTTAGCGTGTCTTGTCGTTCTTATGGTTTATATCATCAATAGGCGTTTGCTGTATGTCCTTTATTATTCAACATAGCTCACAAGATAATTGATTTAATCTTCGGCTTCCATATTTCTTGGTGGTGGACCGAAATATTGTCCCTATTTTTAGTAATGAAATTACTGAAATATAAATATATTACGACATGGACGAGAATAATTACAATACTTTCAACACGACTGAATAATTTACATTCATAACCTAGTGAATGGACAGAAATTAAAAATGATCTTTTTCTTTAACTCATTATTAATCTTCTCCCTTTTGTTCTCATTCTTCTTCCCTTTCTCCTATTGTTACCCCTCAAAACGTCAGTCATTAATTGGTATTGCGCGATTGTTTCTTTTTTAAGACAAGGTTCAATCTTAAAGAGGTTAGATATTTAGGGCTTACTCTCAGTGACATTTTCACTTCCTAAACTGCTTAAGTTTTAAGGGGCAACACCACTGAAGGAGGGGTACACATTCATAAAGCAAAGTGTCATCTTAAATATTGTTCAGAAGTCATTACAATTTTGGTAGGTATACACATACAATTTAACCGTTTCAATCGCTTGTAAGTGCATATACAGTCAAACCTGCTTTAGTGACCACCTGTCTACAAAGAACAACTGTCTACAGCAAGCACATTTTTTGTTTCCCTTGAAAATGGTTTCTCATTGAAAGTCTTAAAGTCTTAAGGAACCTGTCCAATGACCACTTTTTATGTGTTTCCCTCGGGCGGTCGCTGTAGACAGGTTTGACTGTACTATGTTTTCTTAATTGTATTGTCAAAGTGCAGTTATTGTAAATAGGTCGTCACTTAGGTAAGAAGTCTCGTGAAAGATTTGGTCGTCAACTTCATGATTTTGCGGAAGAAAATAATAGATAAATGAATAAACAAATATTGCTTAAATTATTGTCCGTGATGGATACTTACAGAGATGTCATTTCCAATCGTTTATCATGACCCATATATAACCAAAAATAAATTGAACTCCCTGACATAAAACATATATATTATTCATGAATGGGTATCGAGTAAGGAGTTTGGAAGTTTACTGTCAAGATTAATAATATCCTAAGAATACCCCCCAAAAAGACATCCTTGATGACGTCAAATATCAGTGGCTTTTGGTGATTAAATCCAGCTTGAGGGGGTAGGGGAGACTCCACCCCCCCCCCCCCACCTGACGTATCTTATTTTGTGTAAGATATAGTATAGTCGGGGCAGGGGTGACAATTCTTAACACTTGGGTA